CTCCCGCCCGGCCCGCGGCCCTGCCTGCCCGGGTGCCCGGCCCCGCTGGGCCAGGCTCCTCCCTCGTCCGCCCCGCGCCTTCCAGAAACGTCTCCAGCCCCTTTCCCTGGGAAGCGGGTCCCCCCACCCGGGCAGGAAGCCTTCCGCCGTCCTCCTCCCCACTTCCTTCCCCTGCAGCCAGTGGGGGGCAGCCGGGGCCCTCGGCCTCCCCACGCAGCTGCTCCGCGGAGCTTCCTGCCTTTGACCCCTTCATCCGCTGCCCCGGGCAGTGCCACCCCCAGCCCGGCTGATCCCCGCAGCCTCCTGGTCGGGGCCTGCCCGCCCGCCCCCCAGCTGCACCCTCCATGCTGCCCAGCACCTCTCCAGGGCTGGAGGGACTCACTTCCAGCCTGTGTCTGCACTGATCTGCTGCCCTGGATGAGAGAACCAGCTCCTGCTGCCCCCAGCCCGGCTGCCCATGGGAGCCCCCCGCCTGGCAGCAGCTAGCGTGCCCCCCCAGCCAAGGGTGAGGGTGAGAACAGCTGCGGCCTCTTTCCAGCAGAGCCTGGCCTTCCCGGTAGGAGCTGCAGCAAGGGGAGCACATGGGCCTGGGACTGGCTGGGGGTGAGATGCACACTGTGTGCCACCCCACGTGTGTCCCCTGTGTCGCAGAGGGCGCAGCTGGCAGGAACGCAGCTGCACCCGCTGGAGCAGCGTGGAGGCCTGCCCTGCCCTGCCCTGCCCTGCCCATCAGCCCCTGGGGTGGAGGGAGCCCAGGGCTTCCCTGCAGGGGAAATTCTTTGCAGGTTCCCTCCTGCGGCCTGTGCCCTGCCCTGGCAACGTTGACCACTGAGCGGGCTGAGCCAGTCCTCAGGGCTGCCGGGGGGCGGGGGCCTGTGAAATGGCCGGGAAACAGGTGGCTGCTAGAGGCGGGTGCCTCCGTGCTCGTGCCTGTGCCCTGGCTGGGGAGACTTCTCCCTGGCAGCCGGAGGAGCCCCACTCCCTGCTGAGCTCCTGCGGCCCCTGCAAGAGGGAGGATGGGGTGGGAATGAGGCACGACCCTCCCCTCATAGGGGCTTGCAGCAGGGTGCCACGCGCCATGAATGTGCTGTGTGCCGTCACTAGTGCTATGCATTATCCTGCTGGACGGGGGACCCTGCAGACCGCAGCAGCCTCGTGGGCTGTGGCTCTTGCCAGGGATCTTGGGAGCTGAGGGGCTGCAGGGATGGCTGTGCGGGGCACAGCCCCCCCCCCACCTGGGGGGCAGCGACCAGCAGAGGGCGCCTGGAGCAGGGCCCAGCAGCTGAGGCCTAGGCCTGGCACCTGCACCTAGGCCAGGCCAGGCCCAGAGCTCCTGGCACCCTGGTGCCCAGGCACCGCAGTCCCCACCACCACGGGCATCACCCCCAGACCAGCGCAGAGCAGCTGAGAAGAGCCTGGCTGCCGGCCAGCTACCGTGTCCCACTGGCTGGGCTGTGGGCTGGGGCACAGGCCGAACCTCGACCTCCACCAACAGCCCCGTGGTCCACGTGTGGAGCAGGTGGCGGCGGGTGAGCCACAGGCTGAAACTGCCAGAGTGCTCGGCCCAGGGGCCTCAGGCACAATGACTGTCGTCCTGTGGTGGGACCCCGGTCAGCTGGCAGCAGGCGGGTGGGCACCCAGCACACTCCTGGACGAAGCACTGGAAACAGCACGCGGGCAGAACTGGGGCCGGGGCTGCAGCGTGCCGGCTGCCGAGACAGGACACACGTGACGAGATGCTCCATGGCACCATCCAGCTCGGCCACAGTGCCACGCGACGCAGCCTCTGCGTGTCCTGGGCGGCAGAGAGGGGGCAGAGGCCTGGCAGGCAGGGGGTTAACCTCTGCTCCCTGTGCCTGGCTGGGCAGTGCCCAGCACCCTGCAGACCTGGTCCCGGCTAGTTACCACAGTAACTTGGGAGCAGGGCCAAGGCCTGGCCCAAGCCCCCAGCACCGCTACCCCCACCGACCTCCAGGCCGGGGGATGCAGGGAAGCAGCAGCCCCCTCCCTGCCCTGGCAGCAGGATGGGGTGGGCAGGCCCCTGCACCGGGGGTGGTGCAGGGGCAGGCGGTCCGGCGGCGAGCCCCGGGGGCCAGGCCGGACGGGGGCGAGGCGCTGCCCGGCCTAGG